TGTGAGTTGTGATGTTTCAAAAATTTAAATTTCTAAGTCCAAAAGGTCTCCTTAGGCCTTCTCCAATCCGTATTGGAACTCATCCTGAGTTTCAATGCATTGGTCTCAATCGACTCAATCAATATTTGAGGATTCAAGAACATACAAATGAGACTATAAGGAGTCAAGGGATGACTTGTATTTTTATGTGGTATGGGTTCCAATACTAGTCCTCTAGGAGACTCAGTAGAGAAGTCCTGTGTATAGATACTAGGATCTAGAGAGGGAGATGGACCTCATAAAAAAATGAGGCCATCAAGTGCGCTAGATATGAGCCAAAGCCTGCTGATGGTGAACCCTCTACTGGTTCTCCAACCCCTGCTTTAGGAAACATTGAGCACTGGTAGGGTTCAAATGCTTAAGTACCTGAACGACTCCGTTAAGGCATACGCCAATGTCGTTCAGGCCTACATTCACGTCTACGACGTCGCCAACGACCACATCCTCGTCTTTGAGGCCTCCGTCGTCGTCAGCCCTACCTCTGTGTCAATTCCGTTCTCCACCGCAAGGGCCTTGTCCATATTCTCTTCTCGCCAAGCTCCTCCCGCAACATGTGGTCCCGACAAGGTAATTTATATGGGACGACAATTTTGTCTTTTCTCCTTCTAAAATATCTCTTTTATCCCTCTTAAAATATTACTTTGCCCTACATTATTCTTGGTCCTCCCACGTCGGGTCAGGCGAGCAGTTTGTCTCCTAAAAAAAGAGATTGGTTCTGCCCTTAAGAGTTTTAGGGCGGTATTCAAGTGATTACAACCCAATTCACACATGATTCACATCTAATTCATCAACAGTTAAATTTATGAATATCAATGAAGCATTGCGCCACGAAAAAGAAAAACAATCACAGCCCGCATTCGAGCGCTCACCAACCTATAAAAAAAACTGTAAGATATTATGACATTTTTAGGGGGTCAATATTTACTTCATTGACATATAATGACCATTTTCAAATAAAATAAAGTCTTATTTCTTCTTTAGTAGTCCTTAAAGAACATGTTCGAAGTAGAGGCTGGTTAAATTATGTGGCTTTCAATGATATTTTCTTTCAGTATCTATTTTAATTATCATAGAAAATAATTAAAAGTAAATAACCCACCCTTCCAAAATTTTGACTCCCTTTCAAGTGCATTACTTTTTTGATATGTAATACCATTTAATATTGATTTATTGCTTCTTTATTTTGGCTTCTTCCAAAACTTGGTAGTTGGTTGTTGAAAGTTCTCCGCCCGTAACACAGAGGAATATTGCTTCAGAGTTATTTTGCGTTATTCAGTTGTTATTGTGGTGGTATTGATGTGTTATTGTGTTATTATAACACCGGGAAAATTCTCAGAATACAATAATACATGAATACCACCACAATAACATCTGAATAATGCGGGAATATTATTTTGTGTTAAAACGAATTTTTTCTGTTTTTCTGTCACCTTCACGTGGTGTGATTTTATTAGACTCAGACATATCTCTACATCCGGAGTCCGGACGTAATATTTTTTCATCTCCTTTCCCATTTCATTGATTTTTTTTTTTAAAGTGTATCATTACTCTTTTCTTTCCTGTTTTCATGCTAAATTAATTTTGTTATTTATATTTATTTTTTTAATTTTAATAATAATTTCACATGTTTTTTATGTGAATTTTATTTTTTATATTTTACCTCAAATTATTTATATATGTCTTGAATATATTGTATTAAATTGGTGCTACTCTCAATTTGCTAAGTCAATCTATATTTTCTAGTTTTATAGGGACTCGATTTTATCTAGTTCCAAGGTCTTGGTTGGTGGAACTATATTTACTTCATTAAAAACTTGTGCATATACTAATTGATTAGCAAATATTAAAGCTTTTTTTGGAAGCAAACTTTTAAATTTCACATAATAAATGCTGGGACCACTTGCGAATGAAGCGTCCGTTTAGGACAGCTTGTGCTTAGATAGAAATGCGGACCGTGCGGTTCGACCCGAGTTTCGTGTTTAGTGTAAAAAGCCAACTGTATTTTCGGTAAGTTCCTCAAACGCAGTTTCCAAAAGTGATGCGGATTTATCAAAACGCTCATGCAACGGATAAGTTGCCCCAAATAGAGCCGAAGACCTACTAAGAAATGAATGAATGAAAAACATTGATTGTTTAAATATATTGAAAAAGCTTTAAGTCAAGCGAAGGAACAACTGAATCTTTTAACATAATAACGTCTAATCAGGTTACGCATCATTCTTTAATATTAATTTTAAAAACGGTGCAAAGAGTAAATGATAATTAGGATTATATACGAAAGTTAGTGATAGGAAATAAAAAGCCTAAAGCCTAAATACAAAGATTTAGATGTAATTACTCTTAATTTACGAAATCAACTATATTTCTTATAAGTATTTTCTCTGTTAAAATGCCTCCCTTTACCGTCTTCTTAGTGAGCGTATTTTCTATCTGGATTCCTGACGTAGATCTACGTGCTGCGGAGATTATTCCTGAGTTATTTTCAGGTTATTTCTGGGTTATTTTCAATAATCCTGAAATCTCTGCCGCACGTAGATCTACGTCAGAAGTCCGCACAGAAAAATTATAGCACTTCCATACAATCATTAAAATACAATTTTAACTTTTAACAAATACAAATTAAGATAGCATGATTCAAATGTTTTTTCTTTAGTAGATCCGATGAGTCTTTATGACCAGTCGGACATACATCATAAAATATAAGGTCAACAGGTGCGCCATACCCTGGTGCCATCAGTATGCTCAAGGAACTCAAGTGGACGTTTATGAGCTATGAGGTACTACCTAAGAGTAGGGTACAACTCCATAGGCTCAAATGAACATCACAAAAAAAGTGACATAAGAAATTGACTCCAAAATGTTGAACAAATTAATATCATTTTAAAGCTCTCGATGTAATTTATTTAAGAGGTTAGTGAATTAAAATTTTTATGGTTGAATTGATCATAATACGTTCAACAACATTTACTGATTACTTTTAATGCCAATGAAAAAAATATGATGACATATTACCATGTTGCATTAAAATTTTTGTCAACCAAGAGAGAATAAGGACTATTCAATATTGTAAATGTTTTGTGGAATAAAACTTTATAGAGATTGTGTGAATGCTGAGAGAACTATTGTTTAAATTTAGGATTGACAAAAATTGTAACGAAGCACCACATTTGTTGAAATGTTCTTTTCTTCAAAAGAAATCTCATGCTACAAGTGATTTATGATTTGTAAGTTTGTAGAGGTCAAATGAGTTCCAAAAGGTTCAAATCTAAACAAGCTAATTGTATGAAATATGTGACATCATATGATTTGATGTGATGAATTGATTGCTTGTGAAGAGAGAATATTGGCGAGATATGTACCTCGATTGACTAAAAGAGTGGGTGGTGATAAATGACCACCTCAACCCTTAGAGCTATGTGATTGCAAAAAAGAGAAGCGAAAGCTACTCAACAAGACCAAATTAAACCAAGTTTAATAGACACATAGCATCATAAAGTTTCGATCAAAGCACCAAAAGAAAAGTATGACACAAGTCACAACGATTGGATTATAACTTCAGCCGCCAAAGTTGAATCATGTAGCCCAATTTCTCTTAGGTCGATCAATAGATTATGAGTAAAAATCCTTGAAGTCATTGTGATGGGGGTACCGGTCGATTAAACCTCAATATCAGGCGGTCATGCGCGATCATGGGTCCAAAATTTCATGAGCAAGACGAATCAATAAAAGGCCTCCGAAAATACCGTTTGATCAAACAGTCATCTAAGAAATGAGGTTGGGGCAACTCGAGCAATATTAAAGGGAAACACTTTTTGAAGTTCTTTATGGCCTAGAGCCCCACTAGGGAATTCATGTAACATTAGTATTTTTAAATAATGTAATGTTTTTTTTTTTCTAGGTTCTTTTTAGGCATCGGAGTCGTCGGCTTTTCTGTTTATGTGTCGTCGTATAAATTTTTTTATTCGAACAAACCTCCCTCCAAGATCATATCAATGATTGGAAGAGAAGAGTAATTGAATGGAAAAGGACATACGACATACAAATAGACAAACAAATAAAAAGAAAAAAAGATGGAAAACTTATGTATGGGTAATCGTCGCGTGATGAGTCGAGAGCATACATCTGAACAAGATGGAAGGCTTATGGTGCTGGTGGTGAGGTGGGAAGGTCGGCGCGGCCGCCTGAGGAATCAGAGCAGATAACGTTGGGAGAGAAGGGGAGCGTGAGTGTGGTTGCGTGAGGAATCGGGGAGGGCTCAAGCATCTAGGCATTTAGGGATTTTATTTTTTATATTATTATTATTTTTTAATATTTAAATATGCCTCGATGTGTGTTTTGCAATTGCATGAAACCATATCAATATATGTGTCATTCCTTGGCAAAATTGACGTTCTAGGTGCATTCGTGTAGTTCGTTTAGTCATTCAAGGTCATTTGAACAAATTTGTAGAGGGACGTGTTAGTTTAAGCCAGTTTCGTGAGCGACATGCCGAATGAGATCTGCTAGTTCGATCGACGTCGGACGACTGACAAAATGCCGATCGACCTTCACTTAAGTAACTACTAAAGTCTAGTAGAACAACCTTGGCAATATGCCCCTCAATATGTGTGAGAGGGTCTTAAATTGGACGCTTTGAGATCCGGGAAACGATATATGCGTGAAACATGATTCTAATGCGCTCAGCTGGATATCCCACACATCAGACATAAAATTTTTCCCTTAAAAAGTGATAATAATATTCTTTTTTGGCGAGATATTAAAGGTTTGAGATGCACTCGTGTAAATATAAATGTATGTGAGATATGTAAATACATACGAATTGTGTGCTATGTAAATCCCCGGTAAATTATTAGCGATTTCTTTTCCCAACCGATTTTATCATCCGACGGTGCCGAAAAGCATAACGTAACACAGATCTGGCGGTTCATTCCACACTCGCCGACCCTTAAATACCAATCGACCATCTCGGTCCTTCGAAACCCTAACCCTAACTTCGAACTCATTTTTGTTCAGGAAGGAGCGAGAGAAAAGAAGAAAAGATGAGCCGAACGGGAAGCAGCGCCGGGGCTAAGGGCGGGAAGAAGAAAGGCTCGACCTTTTTCATCGATTGTTCGAAGCCAGTGGAGGACAAGATCATGGACATCGCCTCACTCGAGAAGTTCCTTCTGGAGCGGATCAAGGTCGCTTCTCTTGGCGGAAAAGCTGGTACGTTGGGAGATGCTGTACGCGTTACGCGAGAGAAGAGTAAGATCACGGTTACTTCTGAAGGACCCTTTTCCAAGAGGTATGGCTCTCTTTGCACTATTTTTTGTGGTGGATTTTATTGGGGTTGTCGAAATTTTAGTTCGGTGTTTCCGGAAATGAACCTCTTTGATTTTTTTCTTTTTTTACTGACAAACATATAGTTCATTCTACTTGTTTAATTTATTATTTTCCTTGCGTTTTGTCACTTTACTCATTCATTTTATGTTAGAAATTCATGGAGTATATTTTGTCAATTAATAAATAAGTATATTTTACAATGGTAATCGCAGTTTTTGTTTTCATTCTATTATATAAATCATACGAAAAATACTCATGCATTTGATGATATCATGAGCTTAGACGCTAACATCAATTGATGGTTTTTAGACAGCAAGTTGGTGAGGGGTGAATGGGGTGTAAATGAGCTTTTTCTCTTTTACTATAAACTTTTCCAATGCAATGGCTTACAATAAGCACATGAAATATATGCTAATTAATCAGGCAAATGCAAATGCACCTATAGATGATTGTGTAGTAATATATCAATGGTAATGCAAGAGTGAACAAGCTATAATCAAAATATATATTGTTATATTCGACTTAGCTTAAAATATCCTTACGATCCATTAATTGACATTTACGTGTTTTCAAACTAGTAGAAAAACCATTTCATTATATGTTACGAAGGGGATGTACATCTATATCTTGATCCAATACGAGTACTAACACATCTTTCCCATGAACATGTCAAAATTAGGGCTGTCAAAACTGCTTGTTGTTCACGAACAGGTTCTGTTCGGCTCATTAACTAGCTCGTGTTCGATTCATTTGCTAAGCAACCAAGCCGAATACAAACAAAGATTTGTTAGTTTGTGCTCGACTCGTTTTGGCTTGAAATAATTTGATTGACTACAAGGCTAAAAAGATTTGTAATCGGTTAAAATTATTAATTAAAAAATAAAAATAAAAATTTATTTAAAAGAGTATTTTAATATAAATAATAAGATTGAAATGTCACCCTATCCTTAACATCCTACGGCTGTGTGGCTAGGGTTGTCAAAATGACTCGTTGTAAGTGAACATCTCGTGTTTGGCTCGCTATGCAACGAGCCAAACATGAACAAATTTTTTGTGTTTGATATATAACGAGTCGAACACAAACAATGTTTTATTTTAACGAGTTGAGCCTAGGCTCGTTTAAGCTCGACTTGTTTACACCCCTGGTCAAAACCAATCAAATGATTATGATGAGGGGTTGCTTTCCAAAATCTTTTAAAGCTTAGGTATTGTATTAGGCAAAAATAAAAAAAAAAAACTAAAGTAACTAATCTCTAAGATTTAAGATTGCAATATATATAACATAAATTAATATTCAATATTATTGCAAGAGATTGAGTGACCAAATAAATATTTTAAGGAGGCTTGATTTGATGAATAATTTGATTCTTCAAAAACCTTCCATAAATTTTATCCAATCTTATGGTCCATGTGTTTTTATTTATTTATTTCTTGTTCTTAAAGTTATTTTCATTCACTCAGAATTCTTTTTTATAATTTAGGCAATACTTAAAACATAATATTTGAATCTTTTTCGAAGTATAAATTAGTAAATAGGTGTCCATAAAATCTTTTCTAACAACCATAAATATTGTCCATTCAACTTTTTTGTCATAGGAGCTGAGATTTTATCAATCTTTGTTAGGCACATTGAAGTGAGAAATTAAAGGATTTTCTAAAGTATTTTACTATATGCAGATATTATAATAATAACAATAATTAGAACAACTAGATATTTAATAAATGCTACATAATGAAAATATTTATCATGATTATAAATAATGACATGCAAGTTTGGATCAGAATGGCTAATTACGTAATCAATGATACAATAAACTTGTTTAATTCTTTAAATAAATATCATTTAAATTTAAAAAGAAGCCAAATTAGTTTCTATTTTAATATTAAGATGTTTTTGTAATAATATTTTTTTAACGTTCTCTTCTTGTTCCAATTCATAGATAAATCAAACTAAACAAAATACATTAACAAATAAGCAAACATTATATAAGCTTGGAATTGAACTTTGCATGCTTGAATATTCATGATTTTTTTAATTTAATAATGGCCTCGAGATTATAAACACTTCTAGTTAGCTTGGAGATGTATAACATCATCATCATAGGCTGGTGATTATTGAATAATTTGTTGAATACTTGTCGTCATTAGATGGTTACACAAAATATTTGTAATAATTAAATCATTGATTAGCTAGTCATACCTCGTATGATGAAAAAAATAAGTTCATAGGGGTGTCATCTTGAATAAAATAAATTTGATTTGTTAAGCATCCATACATCTTTGCTCAAATTGTTATAATTTTATTAAAAACTTCAAAGTTGAGCATTCTTATACGAGAGCACTTATAGAATGGGTGATTTCATGAAAAGTTACAAAAGAGAGACAAAATTGTAAGGCCATTGGGCTAAAGCAGACAATATATTGATGATTGCAAGTGTGGGTTGTTACAATTGGTAGGTGCCCACCTTGTAAGCTACATTGATGTGACAAACCTATGAGATTAGGAGTTCAAAGCAAAACTATATTTGAATAGATGGGAGTTCAGATTGTTTTAAATGTTATTTTGTGGCAATGCACCATCGGGAAGATGAAAATTAAGTATAAAATAGGATAAATGCTATGTCATGGGAGTTACCTCATAATCCCCTCAGATGTAGTGCTAAATGGTGGGACCTACCTCTTGAATACGTCAGTATCTCCAAAAAAAGTCTTATTTGCATGGTGGCTGGTTTTAGGCTATGTGCAATGATACTTATGAGCACATGGATTATTTGAGCGGGTGAGATTGTGAGACCTTTAAGTAGAATGATTCAAGGTGTCTTTTCTTATAATGAACAGATTTTTAATAGGAACTTTAAAATTGTGTTCTCATGATGGTGCACTTGTAGGATGTTGCCTCAAGGGATGGAGTTCTGAGGATATTAGATTAAAGAACTTGAATTGAACATTTGATTATACCACCATCATTAATAACAATACTAATAAGAGTATCTCTAGAATCAAGTTAGAAAAAATCCTTATTTTAAAATTGTGTTTTGATTTGATTCTTGGGTTCAATTGGATTGCTTGTTTGATTGGTGTGTGTCATATAAAGAAGAAGAATATTTTAACCTTTATTCACAAAAACTGTAAAAAAATTGTAAAATTTATAATTCATTCTTGAACGCTTAAATTATTAATTGGAACTTTAATTAAAAATAAATTGGATTTATTGCATAATTATTAATGAATATGCTTTAAGCCATTTGGATAAAAGATTTCTTGCAATTTTTACATTAAATCTTTTATAACTTGCATACATGTAATTTAATTATTTAGGATACAATTTTGCTACTTCAATCTTATATTGATTTCTTTTTAAATACTACGTACTTGGACTCTTAGGTTTTGCTATATATCAATAATTGATTACCTATTTTAGGAATTGAATATGTTCAATGAATTTTGAGAACCAATTTAAATTGATTGCTTTGATCCGGGTTGAATGTTTCATTCTTGAACTCTTAAATTATTAATTGGAACTTTAATTAAAAATAAATTGGATTTATTGCATAATTATTAATGAATATGCTTTAAGCAATTTGGATAAAAGATTTTTTGCAATTTTTACATCAAATCTTTTAGAACTTGTATACATGTAATTTAATTATCTAGGATACAATTTTGCTACTTCAATCTTATATTGATTTCTTTTTAAATACTACGTACTTGGACTCTTAGGTTTTGCTATAGATCAATAATTGATTACCTATTTTAGGAATTGAATATGTTCAATGAATTTTGAGAACCAATTTAAATTGATTGTTTTGATCCGGATTGAATGAAGTTTTTGTGTATTTTTGGATTTCTCTATTCTATCCCTAAATCACAACTTGTTGAACAACATCAGCTATTAATCAATGATTATTCTACATCCATTGCAATTGATTGATCTACATAGCATGAATGGATACTATGGTACATTTCAACATCTTTGATCCTTATTTAAAAATCGAGTTAAAACTTAGGTGGACCTTCATAACCCTAACCTCAACTCTGAGTACAACTCTTTAACACATGAACATAAAGGACAGCAGAAAGGGGTGAAAGGATGAATCATATGAGAGTTAATGTGTTAAGGGTGGGAAGATGAAAGGCTCGATATTTATCATCAAATTTTTAAAACAGATGGAGGCAATATAAATGCATATGTGAGATATGTAAATTCATAAAATAATAGTGTACCATTTATAGTTGATTAATATATAAATGCACTGGCTTACAATAAGCACATGGAATGTATGCTAATTATTCTAGAAAATGCAAACACACATAGATGATTGTGTAAAAAATATATTATGGTAATGCAAGAATGAAGAAGCCATGATCACAATATAGTTATACTCGACCTAGCTTGAAATTCTATTCCGATTCCATTCATTAACATTTATTTGCTCTCAAGCTAGTAGAAAAATCATTTCACTATATTTTACCAAGTGGAAGAACTTCTTTATCCTTTATCCAATATGAATACCGACACATCCTTCCCATGAACATGTCAAAATCAATCAAATGATTATGATGAGGGGATGCTTTCCAAAATCTTCTGAAGCTTTGGTATTGTATAAGACGAAAATAAAAAAACAACATAAATAATCTCTAAGATACATGATTGCAAGATGTATAATATAAATCAATATTCAATATTATTGCAAGAGATTGAGTGACCAAATAAAGATTTTAAGGAGGCTTGATTTGATGAATAATTCGATTCTTTAAAAACCTTCAATAAATTTGATCCAACCTTACCGCTCTTTTTTTAAAAAAAAAATATTTTTTTATTCTTAATGTTTGTTTCATTCACTTAGAAGTCTTCTTTATAACCTAAGTAATACTCAAAATATAGCATATGAAACTTTTTTCAAATTCTAAATTTATAAATAGTGTTCCCAGAAAATTCATTCTAATAACTAGAAAAATTGTCCATTCCACTGTTTTAGTAATGGAGATAAGCTTTCATCGATCTTTGTTAGGCTCGTTGAAGTGAGGAAATTAAAGGGTTTTCTTAAAGGATTTAAGTGTGTGTGTGTGTAGATATAATAATAATAACAATAAATTAAACAACTACACATTCAATAAATTTATATAATAAAAAAATTATTTATTATGATTATAAATATTAATGATATGAAGATTTGGATCAGAATCGCTAATACATAATCGATCATACAAACAACTTAATTAGTTCATTAAATTTATATTATTTAAATTTAAAAGTAAGCCAAATTAGTTTATATTTTTAAATATAAATTTGTATTTGAAATAATATTTTTATTTTTTGACGTTTTCTTCTTGTTCCAGTTGATAGATAAATCAAACTAAACCAAATACATCAAAAAATAAGCAAAATATTATATAAGTTTGGAATTGAACTTTGCATGCTTGAACATTCATGAATTGTTTATTTAATAATTGCCTCTGGGTTATAAACACTTTTAGTTAGCTTAGAGATGTATGCCATCATCTTCGTCATAAGCTGATGATTATTGAATAATTTTTTCAATACTTATCACATAATTAGATGGAACCACAAGACCACGGTAACATTTGAGAAACTCTTTTCCAAACTTGTGATAAAATAAAGATTGAAGTCATTCATGAAGGCTCCATTTCAGGTGGTATTCTTCAATATACTTTACCTTTTGTGTAACATTTCACTAGGAATGCTAAAAAAATGTTGATGTCCTCAAAAATGAGCTTTTTTTTCGCATAAGTTTAAACCGCTGAAGTTTTATGTATGTAATATGAAATTTTAGATGCGAGATATGTAAATAAATAAGAATTATGTGCCATATGTCTTTATTTCCTTATAATTTGTTATACTCACGCATTTTATATTTTTACTCGTTCATTCTAATGTTAAAATTCTTAATACATTTTACTAATTTTGAAATATATATTTATGAATTTTAAAGGATATTCTACTATGATAATCGCAATTTGTTTCATGCATGTGATGTGCCAATCGTACATGATATGTCTGTGCTTGGCTCAACAATAAATAAACTGAATGTGAATTAGTTGTATTTAGCTTGTTGACAAGCTTGAGCTTCTTTGTGCTTCAATTGATGGCTAACAAAACAAACTGATTAAAGCTCGACTTTTAAATTGAATTAGTTGTATTTAGCTTGTTGACAAGCTTGAGCTTCTTTGTGCTTCAATTGATGGCTAACAAAACAAACTGATTAAAGCTCGACTTTTAAATTCAGGATATCATAATTTGATTGAGGTCTTTTTGTGTTCCAATGGAGTAGGATACAGAGCATACCCTTAATGGTTGTGATAGAACTAATACTTATGATGACAATAATTATTTTTTCATGATCTTGCCTATTATTTATTAATATTGATGCGTTCCAGAAGATTTGTGATGGTAGAGTAATTGTTTAGTGTCTTAACGTTGCATGAAAATACAACACAGACTCGACCTATAAAAGTGACAGATAAAGATGTCAAAAATTTTTACTTGGGAAACCCGAAAAGGAACAAAATCACGGGGCCTAGCTCCCTCAAAAGAATCCACTATGTATTAGTGATTACTCACACAAGTCACTGTCCCGTGGGCATGAAATAACTACACAGTTCTTTAAGGTACAATATTTTGCTGCATAATGGCCAAGAGTGATGTAAGTTGGAAGCAACTATTGGGACTCAAGTACACTGTCTTCAAGATGCGTCTCTGCACAGTATACTGGATGTCGTACTATTTTGTCTGGTGTTTCGGTATTCTACAATGTACGCTGGGAGTATGTAACACTTTTTGACTCCAAAAGAAATTTTGACGTAATGAGCAGAAAATGACTGATGGTGGTCGACGACAGTTGTAGAGCGAGCAACATTGAGTGGGGGTGGGGGTGGGGGTGCACCTCCGATCTTTCTTCGTTTCATGGTCTATTTATAAAGGGAGTCTGACTCTATTTATAGAGTTTGAGAGAGGTTGTCTCCTTGCAAATAAGGAATCCAAACCATTCCATCTGACGACCTGGAGAATTTTTCTTTATTAGACAATGTTTTGTCGATATTTAAGTGCATTAATGATGTCGAAATTGAGTTATTTTGGGCTTGTTGGATTCATCACGTCGAGACTTTTGATTTGACTATAAGCTTGTCAGATTTGAAATTTATTTGCCCTTTCAGTTAGGCTCCGAAAGCTTTCAAGGGCTGGGCTTGATTTTACTTGGATTGGAGCCAATCAATTTGAAGGTAAGTTTGATGAAATCGGAGTTCTATATGAGTTTTAATTGTAGTTTGAACATTTCTCACTCAGAATTCTCCTAGTTCCGTGCAAATCGTCTCGAGATTCATGTCAAATGATAAATTTTATTGATGTCGTATCAAAATTTTTATGTTGTTTATGCATTACATTAATTAATGTGCTTGTACAGTTTGAAATTTTATATCCATAATTCAATTTAAATCAAGTTTTTAGGTCTTTAATATAAGTTAGGAAAAGCTCGAGCCCTTAAGAATTTTTTCGGACTTCCCATTTTATTAGTGAATTATATTATGGAAAAGTTATGGTTTGTTTTTTCATCTGAATGTTTAAAGACTTGTCGATGAGATGAACTTCATCTCTTGGTTGGGGCATTTAGATACATACCACCCAATTCCTATGTATTTACATATCAAATACTGAAACTTTATTTTTTATACAATTACAAGACCTAGATGTTTCAGATTACATAAAAAATACCCACTATTTTAACTTCTAAAAAGTGAAATAAAATTTTTCATGCAAGTAGGTGGCATATATGTAAAAATTGAAGTTTAGATATTGAAGTTTAGATGTTTGATATGTGTAAATACATAATAATTGAGTGGTATGTTTGTAAATCTTCCTTCTTAGTTTTATTCGATTTGCTTGTAGTTACTTATATTTCTTCTACTCTTATTGTATCAAGATATGAATGTTCTCTCCCTTGGTAAAAATATAGCGTAATGGTTTCTATGTACTAGCTTGAAGGTCAAATGAGTGTTCATTAGCTGAATCCCCAGTAAGGGTGTTCTAAATTTAGTCGAGTATAATAATCTTATTTTGATCATAACTTGTTCACTCTTGTGTTAGCATAATATATTTTTTACACAAATCACCAATATCTGTATTCGCATTTGCTTGATTCAGTAGCATATTTTTCATGTGTTTTTTGTAAGCCAAATCATTGGAAGAGTTTAGGACCATAAATTAATATTAGAGTTTGATGCTCGTGATATCATCAAACGCATGAATATTTTGCATATGATTTTTATGATAGAATGACAAAAAAAGTGTGATTTTCATAGCAAAATATCCTTATTTATTATTTTTTGAAATATATTCCATGAATTTCTAATATTAAATGCTAATTGAATTCCTTTCACCCTTGCTTTGTGTCATTGTGAAAACATAATTGTATGGATTTGTAATTTGGGCAGTAAGGAGTTGTTGATAGACAAATTGAGTATGACTTCAAAATAAATATGCTAGAAAGATCTTCGATAAACCGTGAAGGTTCGATTGAGAAATAATTAGATTTGAGAGATGATGCGACTAATATTCAGATAAAAAAATTATTTATATGCAAAGTATGAGTTGAATTTGTGCTGCTGAGAAATTATTTGAATAAAAAAGTGGCAGATTGATAGTAATTTGGATCGAAATTATTTGCTAAAAAAGTGTAAAATAGAGTAATTCCTCTTGCAAGATGAATGGAAAATGAGAATTTATAAAGCAAGTCTCGAAAAGTTAATGATTGGCTATGATGATTATGTTGACAAACCTTGAGATCAACAAGCTCAACCCTCTACAGATATGATAAATTCTTTTTTCCAAAATAATAATAATAATAATGAGTTGGTATTACGAAGTGAGTTTGGTTTTTAGAAGTCCAGAAGGCTAATAAAAGATTTTCCCTATATCATTTTATGTTCACTTGTTTAGAATTAGGTGAGTTTATGTATTAAATTGAACATGTGGAATAAATGCAGACATTGTTTTGTTATGGGGCTTTTGCATACATGCCACCCAATTCTTATGTATTTACACATCTAACACCTAAATTTTTCATATTTACATGCATGCCACTAAAAGTTTTAACATCGCGTAAAAATGCATGGGTTCATGACACCAATGTTTGATTAGTGTCAAGGATCAAACTTTTGGTCTTATATATGTAAATACATAAGAATTATATGTTATAAAAAATGAACCTTTTTATTATTATTGTTTTTCAACCTGCTTAGAAAAAAATAAAACTATTTATGTCCAGATATTTAAAGTATCTGACGAAGAAGTACCTGAAGAAACACAACGTTCGGGATTGGCTTCGAGTCATCGCCTCCAACAAAGACCGGAATGTTTATGAGCTGCGCTACTTCAACATTGCTGAGAACGAGGGCGAGGAGGAGGATTAAAATCTTAGTTCCAGGCATTTGCTGTTCTATTTCTCTGCTTCTTTTTTGGGATTGGACCTTGAGAAACTTGCATGTTCTTTTTGATTTGCTGTTATTTATCTTTGAGAAGTATTTTTTTTTTACCTTAAGTTGGAAGAAACTTGTAGATTTGATTCATGAATGTAGTTTGTTTCAGCACATATATACATATTTCAAATGTCATGCAACATGAAATTGTGCTGTGCATGAATGTCAGGGAATGTGCTTTGATGATAAGTGATTAAAGAAGCACTTTTAGTGTTTGGTTTGCATATGTTTAGTTAAAATGAAAGAGTATTTGCATACGTGCCACTCAATTCCTGTTTATTTACATATCTAACACCATAACTTCAATTTTTCATCCATGCTACCATAACTCTGCATGAAAATGTGGTATTTTTTATGTAATGTGAATGATTTGGGTGGTGTAAATGTTAAGAAGTAAAGTGTAGGTGTTAGATGTGTAAATATATAGGAATTGGGTGGGGTGCATGTAATTGCATTCAAAATTTAATTTTTTTTTTGTTTTAAAATGGGTTAATTTCATTGATGCTATAAGTGGTTAAAAATGTTTCAATTGTTTTATGTTTAGAGTCATTTAAAAAACGATAAAAAAAAAAAAAAACTTGGGTATGCTTAGATGAAGTTTGATTATATAATTTCTTATGCATAAATAATGGTGTTTCATTTCCATTAAGGCTTTTTAGTATTATGTTTTGTAGCCCATACACATCAAATAATGGTGGAGTGTTTTATCTCCATATACATGATTTGAGCTCAACGACTAAAACATTCTAAGTGTATGCAAGTTAAATGTATATATATATATATTGTGCCAACTATCGTGACTCTTTAGTTAGCAGTGTTTGTAAGACTATTGGGCTCACGGATTTGATCTCACCTATGTGTGAAATAAAATTTTCAGGCACATGAGGTTGGTGAGATTCCTATAATTGTCTCTCGCTAATCTTTTTAAAAAATTAAATATATATATATATACATATAACTATCTATTTTTAAGTGTAAAATTGAATAAATATGATTTGCATATTTGTATTTGAAAGAATATGTTATGAATGAAGTTATTGTTGATAATGATCTAGTCTTTGTAAAGTATTCATTGGATTTGCATTTCATTTGATGAAACAAATGATCCTATATTATTTTAAGAAAATAGATCTAATTAAACACAAATTGATTATTTTTTTAGGAGAAAAATAAATTGTGGAGATTTTAAAGATTGTGAGGTCATTTTAAGTAAAATTTTAAATACCAAACATTAATTATTGGTTTTGGATTTTAAATAGTCTGATTGAAAAATGAAAAATACATAATATTGTCATAGAATTAGATCAACATCGTTATGTGAGAAAAAATAACGAGTTCTATTAAACAAGTTCTAAGAGATGAGCTTGAAAAATAAAAAAAATTATGAATAAAAGTAGGTGGTAGAATAATAATGTGCAAGAAAAGATTAAATAAAAGAAAACATTTGTTTTTATATATTTTATAATGCATAAAATTGAATGAATATTATTTGCATATTTGCATTTGAAAGAATTTGCATTATTGTTTATTTTGAATGGAATTACACCTAATTACTCATTGGATTCATAATTCATTTGAATCTAATTTTAATTATTAGCATTATGTTTTTATGAGACTCATGTGAAGGAGAAGATTAGCAAATTGGGGCTAGGCACAGATGGGACTAATGGTTAGTGACATGTGAACTATAATAAGATTTCATGCTCAGAGCTCTTGGGGTCAGACATTGATGGGAACTATAATGTATGAAGGAGAAATTAATAATGGGAGCTTGTTTGGATGAGGCAACAACACGGCCTCTGACAAGTGAAGGCTAAGAGAAGCTCATTAACGGACTTGCACATCAACAAAATTAATATCTAATGGTGCGTGAAGGTCAAGAATTTGTGATGAGAGCTTGTAAGGTTCAAGCTTTAACAAGATTTATGTCGTGTGAGGGAGGAGAAACCTACGATGGGAGCTTGTTGGGGTCAAACAACGACTAAATGATGACACAAGAAAGATGTTAGAAGCTTGTTGAGTTCAATAATTAATGGGAGCTTGTTGGGGCTAGGAATATGATGATTGTTTGCCTCAGTCAATTTTCATGATTTCAATTCAAAAACAACTTCACACGAACTCGAATTCTCTTGAAATTCAAGCTAGCCCAAATCAAATTTAGAGGATTTCGGGATAATATATTATTTTTCATTCGGGATAATTTTATAAAAAAATATATATTTTGAGTTCAAAGCCTTGCATAAATGATATGTGTACGTTTACAGTTAAATTCATTTAAACTTTCTAAAGAGCATTTATAGTGACTTGAACCCAATAAAATATAGAGCATTAACACACATATCACATAATTGCTGTAAATTTATATATTAACACATAAAAAATTAGCTTTCTATATTTATAACATCAAAATTGTTCATATAATGTAAAAAGGTATCATTATTTTAATTAAAAAAAAAGAAAAAAAAAACACTTTTTTTTTCAAGCATATGCAAAATGTTTTAAATGTCAAAATTAATGCGCCGGCATGCTTGCTTCTTCCTTCGCAAGCTTTCGTCTTTCTCTGCTAAGCAGGACAGTATATAAACCCAAAGTGCTCCGCTTCTCTTTCAAAATTCCTCGTTGCCCTGAGAGCGAGGCGAGAGGGGGACTGAGAGAGACAAAATGGCTTCCAAGCTAAAAGTCGACGAGCTCCGAGCCAAGCTATCACTCCGAGGCCTCGACACTACCGGCACCAAACCCATCCTCGTAGGCCTTCGTCTCTCCTTTTCCAGCTTCTTCTCATCCTCAAAATCCTCGAACTCATTTGTTTCAAATCCAGGTCAAAAGGCTTGAAGCGGCGTTGCAGAGCGAAGAGGAGAAGGAAAAGGAGGCCGATCCTGATGAGGCTGTCCCTGCGAGTGGGGTGTCGAACGGTCCAGGGAAGAGGAAGAGGAGCTCCGATGACGATGCTGTTGATCGGGAGGAGGAGGTATGCTTAGAAAAAGAGAAGTTAGTGAAGTACACTGTGCGCGAGTTGAAGGATTTGGCCGCCCGATGCGGGGTTTCGGCGACTGGGACGAAGATGGAGCTTGTCAAGAGGCTTTCAGGAGTTGCAGAGATCCCAAAAGGAACTGTGGAAGGTGAGTGTTTCTGTATTTTGAATCATTTGTTTCGAAGTTGATTTTGCTATTTAAGTTTTTTGGAGGAATTCATATTGACATTCTTTTTTTTAATTGATTTGGATAAGTGTGTTATATTGATGTCTTAAATTAGGAAAAAAATCATATTATGACCTCTTCTTAAAAATCCATCATTAGTTCTTGATAAATTTCCATAGACAACAAGACACTCAATTTTTCGTTTCACAGAAAAATAATGCTTTCAGTGTTGTCTTGCACAAAAAGAGTTGTCATTGCAGCTTTTATAAAACTATCTGGCAGTTTATCCATAGCCAAAATGCATTGCTTTGTGATTTTTATATAAATTTCTTGTAATTTATGGATATTATCTTGTTATTTATGAATTCTTTTAATGCCCTTATGATCAATTTTCTTATGAGGAGTTCCCGATCTTTTTTTTTTCCCTATTCAATTTCAAAATTTAACAAGTAATTATTTGTGATATCAACTACCCTTTAGCATTAGATTAAGGGAGGAAAAGATAGAAGAATGGATTGAAGGATCACTTTTTGTCTGTAAAGGAGTAATAGATTTTTCTTTAAAAAATATGGATTAAAAAATAAATAAAGATTAACTGATGGGACTTGCATGAATTTTCCCCCTCATTTTTTTAACCGTGTGATAAAAGAAGAACAATTTTATTTAAATTTTTATGTTTTAATTGTAATTGTTAGAGGTGGCGGTTGAAGAGATTGAAGAAGAGAGATTGGTCACTGCTACCAGGAAGGGTGGTGCTGTTCTGGACCAATGGCTTCCAGATTATATAAAAACAAGCTTCCATGTATTGCAAAATGTATGTATTTTTCATTTCAAATGATCAACCTTTCCTCGCATCCTCTTTATTGAAATATTCAAGATTTTATTTAAATATTTGTGATTGATTTCATTTTCTTGTTTGAACTTGCTTATGCATTTTTATAGAATACGAATTTAAAGAAGAGTGGTATTTGTTGAGATATAGTATAATCATCTAGTAGTAGTGATGATAATGGGCTGTGGAATGCACCTTCAATTACACTTAGGAAGCCACGTTCCGAAACAATTCTTGGTGCAATGCTTATTGTACAGCTTTGAAAGCATTTATTTGTTTCTTTTCTACGTTGAATCCAAAGTGCTCTTTATATTACAGTGTTCCCATTTTTTGTTTTATATTGACCCAGAGGGATCCTTGCAAATCACCTTTTTATTTAATTAAGTACCACTGGATTATTTCTATATCAATACTGTCTGGACTTGGATTTTGAGCTCAAACTAAAATGACCAGGCATGATGTTAGTACAATGGCTATCAAGATTGTGAAACTTACAATTTATGAAGTTTATTTGTGCTAAGAGCATTTTGTTTAAGTATAAGGAATTTGAGGGACAAAGATGAAGAATAGAGTTAAAAATATTAAATAACTTATTTATGATTGAATGAAGTCTGAATCCAAAATGTATGTAAATATTAGTATGAAATTGATGATGTTGACATAGTTACCATTGATATTTTAATATTGTTGTATATTTGTTGCATTGAATAAATTCTTTTTTAACATGTTTATTGCTGTTTATTTCTTTGGTGATAGCTTTATCTGCCTATAGTTTTTTCAATTTAGGGTGTAACTGCAATTAATCATTTCAGATAAACTGGTAAGTTTTTAGCGTTGGGCAGTTAGATAAACTTTTTCCACTAAATGATGAACAGTTAGATAAAGCTTTTTTCATTATGAATCAAACTCAAATTTAGTCAATTTGGAGTTCAAATGATTAGTGTTTTTTTATTCTTAATGGAATTTAAATGACATTTTTTTACGGTGGTTGATTGTCATCCTATGGCATACAATATATTTTTTTATATTGTTGAACATGATGATTATGATGGTAGTTGTGTGGAAAGATTTAAAATATTGCTTCACTGTTGCAGGGAGGTGATTTTTACGATGCTACGTTGAATCAGACAAATGTTGGAGACAATAACAATAAGTTTTATATTATTCAGGCTTTAGGTTTGTAATAACTGTTCATAATTTTTTGCATACTTTTTTCAAATAATTATTACCAGAAAACTGTAGATTGTTCTCTTTGTTGTTGCTAGTCTTCTTCTTTCATATTTTTTTCACTCTGAAGGTAATTTCCTGCTTTACATTTAGGTCTGTGTTTTTCAGAATGCCATTTATTAAAGGAGCAATTAATCATGTGGAAAAAAGATTTATAGCATTTAGAAGAATTATTGTGACCCTAAACTTTTTATTAGGCATGTATGCACAAGAATATTTGGAAGTGATTTTTATGCTATAATTGATGAGGATTTTTTTTGTTTCTTCATTGAACCAGAAGAACTTTGGAGACAATAATAATGTGTTTTGTGTTGTAAACTTTGTTCTATCTACTCATAAATTTTTTGTTTACTTTAATAATTATTACTTGAAAAAATTTAGGTGTTTTGTTTTGTTGGTTTCCGTGGGTATTATTGGTCTATTTTATTCAAATACTGTTTATTCTATTGAAATTAATTTATTGTCCTACATTTAGGGTTCTGGTTTTTAGAATGACTTATGTTGAAGGTCAATTGGTAATGAGGAATAGTGATTTATGGCATTCTCAAAAAACATTTTGACGCTAAACTTTTTACGTCGCAAACTTGCGTGACGAGTTTTTGAAGTGATTTTTATGCTATAAATAGGTGCCTGACCTGGTATACTTTTGAAGGGCTGTGTTTTTATTATAATCATATCATAAACTTTAAGAAGATAAATCTGCAACACATGGTTTTTTCAGTTCTTTGAATAATATTCAATAATGTGCAATAGATGCGCAATATCTCGAATTGTGGCAGATTTATCATTAAGTTCATGCGTATGCCATTACTGTTATGTTTAATTTTTGGTTAGTGATAAACCATTCTCAAGCTATCTGACCATCTCTTTAATTTCATGTAATCAACCATTACTTTGAATAATTTATATATAAATGATATGGTTTTAGTTAGGGCCTATTCAGTTCTTTTTACATTATATATGATTGACATTTTTTTCTTGAATTACCCAAATCTCTCTAGCTCTTTGCTGTTGGTTTTTTCATATCCCTAACAATGCTGATTGTTTATTTTAAAATATATCTTAGTCTGCAACATAAAGCAACCAATTGGGTGTTGACAAGGCAGAAAAAATCTCATACTCGTTAAATTTCATGTTCTGTATCCTCGTCTCTAAATTTCCATAAACACTTTGTTCACTCATTCAACCATTCACTTTTTTTTTTGTAACAATTCTGTCACTGTCTACTTAACTCAAGAGTTATGAAATATAATTTAAGGATTCACTTTATAAACTCGTTGTTGTTTGATTAGGGAGATTTTTTGTTTGGTGGGGGCGGGGGGATTTTATCTTTTGGTGCTATATATTTCTTTGTAACAATAGATTTTGGAGATATTGAAATTTGAGTATTTCAGTTCTTTGTTCCTTTGCCATCATTCGCTAGTAAAGAATAACAAAAGTTGTCACTATGCACATAATTCAGACTAACATAACGCAGGAATTTATTTTATAAAATCCTCTTTTAATACCTGAGAATATCTTTTTTTCGTGGTAAATTCAAGAGAATTTGTGGTCGTGTTGATACATTGCTTTATAACATCTGATTTTGCAAAGACTTCCATGTGGCTTGATGCACAGGATATGTATGAAATCTTTATGTAGCTAAATTGCAGAATCTGACGATGGCTTCAAGTTCATGGTTTACAGTAGATGGGGCAGAGTTGGAGTAAGAGGTCAAGATAAATTACACGGTCCTTTTACTCGAGAAACAGCAATAAGAGAATTTGAAGTAAAGTTCTTTGAAAAGACAAAGAATCGATGGTCTGACAGAAAGAACTTTATTTGTCATCCTAAATGTTATACTTTGTTAGAGATGGATTATAGTGAAGCTGGAGAGGAGCAGGTAATTTGGTGTTGCTTTTATTTGAAAGCTTTGGATATTATAATTTGATTTTATTGGTTATTTATAGCCGCATTGGCATATATTATGTTTGTGCCTCAAATAAATATATATTTTACCTATTTCCATCAGGTGGTACCTAAGCCAATAAAATCTGTTGATACACAACTTCGCGAGACAAAACTTGATGGTCGCATTGCAAAATTTATCTCTGTTATTTGCAATGTCAGCATGATGAAGCAGCAGATGCTTGAGATAGGTAGGTTGTTTCTATCAGTTGTTTAAAGCACTTAATTGTACTTTATCGTTTGTCAATACGTGAGCATTTTATTAGGGTGATTTAGACATGCATACATTAGTGATTGAGTAATGTGTTATTTAATTACAAATAGCAAGCGAAGAGAAGCCGCAGAGTCTCCTTATATGTTACCAATTTTATTGATGTAGTAGGATAAAGATGATTAATACACTCCTGTAAAAAAAACTATGTTAACGCTATTATGTTAAGACTTAGACTATTTTAGAAAGAACTAAGTGAATTTTGCCATGAAAGGGATCCTTCAAGTATTCTCGTACGCTCGAATTTACTGATAAATATCTAAAACTCACTTATAAATCCCATCAAATCATATATAAATGTACTCGTTTAATTGGAGCACTGAAGTTAGTTTTCTTCCTTGATGGCAACGTACCATTTATGCTTGGGTAAAGCACTGTATCAAAACTCTAAAGATTTCACAATGAGATACCCTAAACATTGAAGGACGGACTCAAATAGTAAATAAGAAATAATAAATACTCTCATTTGATGTTAATTTCTCCTCCCACCAATTCTAGGCCGCATTTCTTGATGATTTGATGTGCTCTTCAAATAGGACTCAAAGTATGCAAAAAGATAGTTTTTATTTTTATTTTTATTTATTTTTATTTATTTTTTTGACATAGGGTCTCTATGATTTTGATGGCTAAGCAACAATTTGATTGATGTCTCTTTGGGGTGGTGGTGATGGAAAGGTTATATGGGCAGGGAAAAGAAAAAAAGGATATTTAGGATGATTAGATTTGAGACTGAAACTTTTAGTCTTGGAAAATTAAGTTTTTCTTAGGGAAAGGTGTGAGGAACTCCAGATCGAAGCTTGGGGATGTTAGGAAATTAATTTTGGTAATTTCATCTAAATTGAATCAACAGTTGAGATGCAGTTTTAATCTAGTTGGTCACAGCAGAATATGCTCTCTATATTGGATTTTTAATAGGACATATTCATGTATTGAGTTTAATGGTGAGGTGAGGCTTGGGAAAGTTTTGTGGCTTGTGAGAGAATGTGTAGGAAGTTACAAAGTGTTGGAAGTGCCTTGTGGTTGACGAAGTTAAGGATTTATGTTTGGTTGAACCTTATGCAAAAAAGGGCAATAATTTTGGAACAAGGAAATGTATAAGTTGGAAAATGTAACTAAGGACTCATCAACCACCAATTTTTACCAAGGATTAGTGCAGCTGCCAAGGTATTTTATGCAAATTTGCACATTCAAAAATAAATTTTATTCAATGAAAATAAAGTACAAAGCAAGGTCCTTATATGCTTGTTGACCATAGAAATGAAAAGACAATGAAGAAGAGAAATAAATTAAAAAAAAGTTATTAATTAAATTAATTAACTTAAAATTTTATCTAATCGAGTCTTACCGCCTATTGGAGTCGATTCGAGTGGAATAACTGCTCCCCCTGTTCTCTTCAATTACAAACAGACAAACCAAACTCCCAGCTCCTTCATTTGCACTCATTCACGTTGTTTCCCCTTTTTCTTTCAATGTCGTTCCAAACTCTCCCATACTTCTTCCTTGTTTGAAGCCCTTATTCTGCACGTTTCCCTCTCAGCTTCGTTCATTTTCTTGTTCAAATCCAATCTGTTGAATGTCTATCGCATTCTACTGCACATAGGTTTGCATTCACTGCCCTCTTCCACTTCATCTTCTTCCATTAATTGCAAATATCACAATTCTCTTTTCTGTTCACACGACTGAGCCGCGAGCCGTGATTGATCTTTCCTGTGGCACTCGTTCGCTTCACATACCATCACTGTTCCTCTACCCAAAGCCGAAACCCCCTCTTGTTTTTCTTTTATACCAAGCCCTGCATCCAAATTTCTCTGTTGGGCCTGCCTTCCCTGTTTACCATTACCCAACCTCTTTCTAGCATACCCTCGTTTTCTTACAACTCTAAGATTCACAAATAGAAAACCACAAATTGCTTCGCTATATTCCTTCTGTTTTCCTCTACACGGTCCAAAATCCCTATCTACTTCTGAAGCCCCACGATTGATCCTACTCTGCCACACAACAAAGTCTTTCTCGCTTCTTCTTTGAACTTGAAATCTTTGCGTTACACTCGAACAACGGAATCATCGGTGTGCAGAGGCTCGAAACTCCTTTCCTTCGTCCTAGTCTCCTTGTCCGATTGATCTTTCCTTAGCTGGAATCCTCGCCATCACACCTTCCAAGCAACACGACCTTCACTGCCTTCTCGATGCTCCCCCTAACGTCACGTATCTCTCCATTGCACACGTGAAGCCACTCGAAGCCCTCTTCGATCACTTCCGCTCTGCCGTGATCCCCTTGCCGAACTCCCCGTGCATGCGACTTCTTCCCAGTCGCGACTGAGACTTCCATCTCTTCCTCCCTGCGTCGAACGCTTCTCTGTCCTAGGCCGATTATACATTAGCTCCTGTGCGATCTCCTATTTTAAATTGAGAGTTCCCCTTTGCTCCTCTCATTCAAGCCCGATCATAACACTAGCTTAGCCCAATTATTGTTGTCCTACCTGAACACTTGCTTGAGGCATTTGAATGTTTATTTTATTTTATTTTGTTGTTGTTATTGTGTTGTAAATAAAAAGAAGATAAGAAAATATGTGTTGTAATGTTGTGTTATTTTGCCGATAACGTTGTTAGGGCTCAAAAGATATAATATTTGGGTAATGGTGTAATTTCTGAAAACATCCATTCGAGAGCAAGGAACCCGTTAAATAGAAAAAAATTTGGAACTCGTTTGGGAGAGTTATTTTAAAATCAGAGTTTTTTTAGGTGCAATATCAAGGCAATTGGGAAATTTTTTCGAAAACCTTCACTCGAGAGGAGCAAAGTACCCGTTAGGTGGGGAAAATGCAAACTCATATGGAGAATTATTTTTAAAATCTCGAGCTCTGTTTTCAATCTAACCATTTCTGCAGGTACATTGAAGGCCCGCCACATCTTTTGATATCGCTAGTTAAATGTTCTTTTTGCTCCACGTTACGTCTTTTGAAACCCCGAGATGAAAACTCTATTATTACTCTCTGATTGCAGTCTCTTATGACAGTGACCAATGATTTATCTGAGATAACAGGAAGGTTGGCACTATCTTGTGCCCCCTAATGGGAATTGACGCTAGGAGGTTGTCGGCATCTCGGGTGATTTGTACTTGTAATTAATTTAAAATTTTAAAATATTTGAGCTTATAAAATAATAATAAATTTGATCCATTTGAATTTTAAAATGATTTGGACTATTGCTTTTAAAATTGAGGCTCTTAGGTTTTTAAAATATCAGGGGCCTGAGCTTTTAAATATTTAGGCTCATAAAGTTTTAAAAGTTTCAAAATTTCGGGATTTTAAAATATACATTTTCAGGGCTTAGAAATATTTAAATTTGGATTTTAAAATTTAAAACTAATGAATTTGAAGATATTTTAAAAATTGAGCTCTGGAGACTCACACTCCTAGAGTTTAAAAATCAATTCAAAAACCGAGTTTTTTTGGACTTAAGCTCATATGGGGCGAAGAATAATTCAAGCATGGAGCTTTCTGAAATTAATCATCTCTGCCGCTGGATTGCAATGCTCCTGCTAACTAACAGAAGACGGTTACTTTTTAAAGCCTAAAATCTTAATATTTTTGCAAATACCTTATGCTCCAAATGATTTCAAAATTTATAAGCTTCATGTTACTCCTAAATTAAATGCAATATCTTGAAATGCGACCCCACACTTTTAAGACTTAGAAGGGTTCTACTTGAGATCATTTGTAAATTCCATATTAAGTTCATGACTTAAAACCCATGCAGGTCTTTAAAGCTTATAAAAGATATTCAAATATGTGAAATTTCATCCCCGCTTATGCTCTAACCAAAATATTAAATATTGAAATACGAGATTCGAGAATGTTATGCGGGCTAATCAGACCTTCTTGTTTATATACCATGATTGTAAGTCTCACCCAACTAGTATGATTCTCATCCTTGTAAGACTGGAGTTGATGAATCTAATAATCTCCAAACAAACATCCAAATTTTAAAATATTAATTTATAAGTCCAAATCTCATAGTTTGATCCTACTAACTATAAAGATAGGAGTCGATATAACTTATACTTGTAAAAGTTTAAATTAACAAAACTAAGTGCCCCACTTTAAACATAAAAGTTTTAAATGTCAAAATTCTGATGATGATCGTGTTGATCGAAGATCTCAACTAGAGTGGTCAATCTTTCAAACCAATATTTTCAAAGTAACCAACTAAGCATTCAAGCTAAAATTCGATCACTAAAAACTAAAAACAAATTCCATCCGCCCTCCACAATAGTTTGTTTAGGGTGACAAATTTCTGACCGACTTCAGCTCACAAAGTGCTAATCTTATATTAAACGTATCACTATATTCACAATCAAAGTAACTGCATCCGAGTAAGGACATAATCCGAGTCTTCTGTCCACGTAGTTTGGCCAAAAGGCTCCACAAAATAGCGGTTATGACCAAAACCTTCAGACTGGGTGGTTGTCGCCAAATGAAACAATTATATTACGCTCATGAATGCAGCCCGTATGTTTCCAATTGTTTTTTACCATTTGAATTGTGAATTATAAGGGTAAAATTGACTGACAAAAACCTTCTGTTAGCTGAAATCGACCTAAATTTGCCCCTTGGACAAACCTCCACTCTAGTTCTACAAAAATCTCTTGGACGACGCAACTCATGACTACTGACAAGAGTACTTTTGTTAGGTTGGGTCGACTACGTCCTCTGACTAAGTAAATCAATGATCACGATGACCTGGGATGATGAAACCATGAGGTCTTGATCGAGTTTTGTCTTTATTCCCTCACCATCCACTTCAAGCTTCAAGTGATGAATTTTACAATTTAAAATTCTAAATCTGTTGTTATTATATGTTTAATTCTCAATTCTTAGTGACTAGCCTTAATTGAAAATGCTCTCCCGCTATCGGGAGGGGTAATTATGGGAAATTTTGAACACTAGATCAAAAAGTACTCACAAAATAGAGGGTGAAATCTCTAGGTAACGTCTTAGCTACAATCCAATATGCCTTTTGTAGTTCAACCCTCCAAAGCTCTCTCAATAAATTAAAAATAAAAAAAAAATGCGGAGAGTTGTCGTGGGGAATGGTCGGGAATTTTCGGAGCCCACAATGCCTCCTGAGCTTAGACAAGTTTGGAAGCTCTTCCATGCCAATAAATTACTATTACATGAATTGATGTCTTAATCTAATGCAAATGAAAAGAAAATAAGAAAAATATTATAAAATTTAAAGTTCCCAAAAGCAACAAAATTTGGTCAGCAAAATAATGTAGGTAGGGTGTTCTTGAAATCAAACAATCTTTGAAGATCTTCGCCTCTTTGATTGGTGTGGTTAACCTATCCATCAAGCGACATTAAGTCAAGCGTCTTAATTGTCTTCCATGGCTCCAATGATTTTGGAGAGATTAGGGGTCGAATGTGAGCTTCTTTTTAAGTGTCGTGCATAATGAATCACCCAAAGCTTGATGCAGTGCCTTGGTTTGTGGCTTGTTCTTAGAATTTGTGTTGGCGCTGCATCACTTTAATAAGTTATGATTTATAGGCCTGGAAATCTCATTTTTTCTAAGCAAAATTGCTCGTGTTTCTTTGTGTATATGCAATAATTATTATATACTAATGTGCTCAATTTTTTTTTTTGTTTCTTATTTGTCGCTTAGATTTTATTACTGGATATCATCGTATTTATTAGTAGTGCTTATCGTCTTTTTACCCAGGCTACAATGCTGAAAAATTGCCCCTTGGTAAGCTCAGCCAATCGACAATTCTGAAGGTAAGACGTGTGCTTTGGCACTTAATTACGTATATATAGAATAAAATATTTTTGTTTTGTTTTTTTTTTCTTATACAAGACTGTTGCTAGTTGTGAAGCATTACAAACTTTGATTAGATTTGTTGGCTGAAACATTCATGCAAACAAATTAACTTTTAAATTACAGGATTTCTCCAATTGTTTAGGTTCTTTTTTATTTTTGAGCAACTGATTCATTGTTGTGCACATTGTTGCCTTCTTAAGGGTTGAATTATGATTAAAATTCCAATGGATACGAATCTTTATGATCACTAGTAAAGAATTTTTTCTTTGTTGTGTAGTATTCACTTTGAATAGTATAGAAGGAAAAGAAAAGCTTCACAACGCAAGAATGTGTTTCCTGTTTATTTTATATATAAAATTATATTATTTTTTACAACATGTTTGCATTGTAGAATTTGAATCTTCTGTTCTAGATTTTTTTTTTAAATTTTGAATGATAAATGTGGGATAGTTTGATGGATCATATGTAGAAAAGCAAATATTTATTATAAATATATTTGATTTCTAATATCCATAATGAAAATAGCTAATCCTTCCTTGTATTGGCTCATTTGTAGCATCATCAGCTTTATCCCAACAGTTTTTAGCAGCTTTATGAATTGTTATTAATTTTTCTTTTTTTTTTCATATTGCATGTTGTGTCAGGTTTTTGTGGAACTCACTCTGCATGATTGATAAGTGTTTTAGTTTTAATCTGTAGTTTTTTAATACTTCTATATTAACATTATCTACCTAAACTCAACCCTAAAACCCTAAAACCCTACACCCTACACCCTACACCCTACTACACCCTACACCCTACACCCTACACCCTACACCCTACACCCTACACCCTAAACTCTAAACCCTAAAACCTTAAACCACCCTAAACACTTTGCATGATTGATAAGTATTTTTGTTTGAATCTGTACTTTTTTAATCTTTCTATATTAACATTATCTACCTATCTTATTGTTGCATATTTTATTCTCTATTCTCTGTATTCCATGCGACCATGGTATATTTCTACCTTCTTTTCTTTTATGAGTTCATTTCTTATATCCATTTGTTGATCTGCTTTTCTTAGTTATTGCACATCATTCATAAAATTTTTATTTTTCTTTACAATCAACTAAGCTATAAGAATGATTTCTTTATAACCAAATACTCCATAAAGCTTTTTCCCTATATTTTCTACTAGGAGGAATACCAAATCATCCATGGTGTTGATCGGATAAGTGGAAATTTTTATTTTTTTAATAACTTTATAATTATTATCATGGCTCTTCCAACTGTTTGACGTGAGGCTTGTGATGGAACTCAGGCACTTCATTTTGAATTTCAAATTTTTCTTGAAAAATCAAACCTTTGTCAGTTTTATCTGGCTTAGTTTGGATGCCAATAATGCTCAATGAATACCTCTCATCTTTTTTACATTAGTTATATCTGATTGATTTAATGTAGTAGGTACTGGTGTTTCATGTTTGCACAGTTAGATGCCATGTCAGTAGTTAATTACATATTATCATTTTTATACGCTATTTATTAGGAATTTCAATATAAAACTGTATTTATAAAATGAAATAGATTAAGAGCCTACGCAATTTCCTTTTTCCTTTAATCTTTTTCGGAGTAAAGAAGTTTGGGCATACTATCTGAATATTGAGAATATTTTATGAATAAGTTTAATTTTTTTTCTTAACGTGTTAATGTACTATGTTGCATCATTTCCATCAGTTATTTTTTCTCTGATTTTAAAGCATTATTTATGTTTAGTTTTCTTGCAAAGTAATGTATTTCCAAAACACTAAATAGTTATTGCAGTTGGAACCTTTTCTTTTAGTTTAGATATGCATTAAGACATACATTGTGCCATTTTTTCACCCACGAATGCTCATAGTCAATGCCCTTAATTTTACTGAATTCCCAAGTGCATTTGTAGCAATTGTTCATTTATTTTTTTTATGTGCTTTTTATTAATGCAATACTATTGGGACTTGTGGTGAACTAGTCGTTGTTTTAACATCATATGGTCTGAGTCATTTTATTATCCATAACTCTATGAAAGTCTGCCTATTCCTCCGTTTAATAGTATGTAGAGTCAAACAGTTCATGTGAATGCAACATTAGCAGGGGAATGCATTAGTCAAAGCAGACTTTAATAGTGATGTTTCTAAAAAAAATTGTTTTACCAGTCAGTATGAATAACAGCTTTAAGCAGAAAAGATTTGTAGATAGGAATTCACGTAGCTGGACCCAAATAATTGCTGGGAATAAATGTTGTTTTCACCTTTTTTTGGTTCATTTCTGATTTCCGGTCATGCTTATAAATGCTAAAAGTATGCTCCAGTTTGTTTTATCTTCACCGGACCTCCTGAATTGAACAGGGCTATGATGTTTTGAGGAGAATCTCTGATGTGATTGGGAAAGCGGACAGGAAAAAACTTGAACAATTAAGTGGGTAAGCCTCATCTATTACTGAAGCATGAAAGCTGCTTATTTTTGTAAAGGACAATTAAATAATGATATTTCTCTTCTATATCATTATGTTGTACATTTATTTCAGGAACCAATTTAAATTTTCTTGAAGATATGTGATACATTTTTCTTGCACTCATGTTCTTCAAATTTTTTTAGTTCTGTGTGCTGGATTGGCAGGCTCTACTTTAATATGATTTCCACATTCAATGCAAAACTAGTTGCAGTTTCAAAAGTTAACAAAACTGTAACTACAAATTTTCCCATACCTTGATATCTGAGTTAACCCAAACAACAATAAACAAATAACTATTATTACTGAAAAATCAAAATAGGCGGTTACAACCAACACGTTTGAAAGGAAAAATTTAACAACATGACACATGACACACTGCTAGGGTGGATCTCGGTTGATGGTGGTGTTCGTAGGGGGGGCCTTGGAAAGGTGGCTGCAGTGATTATAGGCACGGGAACAACAGGGCAGCAAGAGGTGCCAGTCCCAAAAGCAGCAGTTTGCTGTTTGGGGGCGGCAACAACAAGGTGGATGTGGGATAGAGGCGACAACAAGTCCGGAAGAGGAGAAGGTGGCTCAAAAGAAAAATGCTGTAGGAAAATAGTGATTTTTTGCAGTTCCGGGCTGCTGTAGCGAAGGAAGTAGGCAGGAAGGGATGCGGGAAGGTTGGGCAATGGTGGAGGGCTGCAGTGTGGTGTGGCGGCAAGGCTGGAAGAGCAGGAAACTGCAGGAGAATAGTTGGGATGAGGCTGTCTCGGTGGTTGCAGCAATGGATGGCGGTCGGGAACTATGTGGGAAAGCTGAGGCAATGGAGTGCAGTCGGGAAATACATGGAAAGGAAGCAAAATGACGCAGGGAAGATAATCACTACCTGGAGACCAAGATACAACCGAAGCATCACCTGAAACCCTAGGACAGTTCTCAAGGGGAAGAAGAGACACCTAAAAAGCACACAGAAAACTGCAAACCTAAAACACAGGAAACAACTATATATGCTCTAGATAATTTAGGATTGGGCCCCAGCTGAAAGGAGACATCGAATCCATAGGATCGGCTCTCCCTTTTGCCTAGACCGATCGTTCCAGATGTTGGACGCGGGTGGGGGAGCCCTCGCTTGCGTGCATCCCGTGTTAGAAGAATCGCTTCGTCGTCACCTTGAACAACATTTTGAACTAGAACTTGTTGGGACTTGTGAAGTTGCTCCTTTTTTTTAGAATTAGTGATCTTACTAAATTTAAATTTCTTTACATTCAAATTTAAAGAATTATGGGTTGGATAAGGTACTTCAAATTGCTATAACATTGAAAGAAGGATTTAAACATAATCGAAGCACTTGCTGAATAATTTTTTAAAGGGCTTTACCATTGGGTTGAACATGAAAATTGAAGCTTACATTACTTGAGATAGGTGCTTTTTTATTGGTTCTGACTAGGTTAACAAATTCTTGCATCTGGCGTAACCTTTTTATTTTCATCTGGGAACATACTTCTTGAACTATTTGCCATGGTTTTGCTCAGAGCAATATATGATAATAATAATCTGAAAATTGCTGCTTGAACTACAAGGAAAATAGCTATAGTTCATATATGAGCATTCTGGTTGGCTGATCATTGTTGAAGACTCAAAGGACTTGTAATGGTGTCATTTTTATAGATTTTGCTAGATATATATTGCGAAGAAAAAGAAAGTTGTATTTCATCACTGTTCCATATGTAATTCATTGAAATTAAATTCAATTTGCAGAGAGTTCTATACTGTGATCCCCCATGACTTCGGTTTTAAAAAGATGCGTACGTTCTAAAACCTTTACCTGTCTAGTTATCTTTGCTAAACCATAATATGCTGCATTGCTATCTCACAAACCCTTTCCTGACGTTTGTTGCTGATTATGCGGCAGGTGAATTTGTAATTGATACCCCTCACAAATTAAAATCCAAGTTGGACATGGTAATTTTATTTCAGAATTTCTGAAATTTTATTGGAATGCATTTTTTAAATTGATTGCTGCAGCCTTTCCATGGTTTTCTCAAACCCTATAGCTCCCAACAAATTAATAATAGTAATAGATTATTCACTAAAGAACATAATCTGCTCTGAGAAACAGCAAATCTTTTTTTTTATCTGATTGAGTTTATGTATTTCCATTCTTCAGTATTTATAGTCTTACAATAACCAGTGCTTCTGAAATAATGAAATTTTGGAGTCACTGTTCTCCTTTGCTATGGATTTTGGGATTTTTGTTAGAATCTGTGATTGATTTGAATATCAAGTAATTTTTTAACAGGTAATTATTAGAGGGTGTGCATGGTGGTTCACAAAGACTTCAACAGTCTAGTGAATTCTTTCTTATAAATCTATGAGTTTATAACAGTTTTAGTAATTGATTTTAATGTAAAAATTGAATAAAACTTTCAAAAATTCATTAGTTTTTGCCTATAATTTTGAATTCATCTAGTTGTTGGTTTATTAGGAGAATTTTACAAAGATTTTCTTTTATTTTAATAATTATTGATTTTTTTTCTGGAGCTTCCCATCTCTTATACTTCTTTTTTTTTTTAGGTCTCAGCTTTGGGAGAGATTGAGATTGCAACTAAGATTCTCAAAGATGATGCTGACTCTCTGGTATTCTTTCCATGATTCTCATCATTTTCATTTTCAGTCTAAAAGTTTCAACTTTTCACATGCATGTAGATATCTACTTCGATTTTGTAACAAGCTTTTGGTGAAGTTGATTGTTCTTTGCGAGTTAAATTTGTATGTAAGCTGTTCTCTATAACTACTAGGCTTTGATGCTTTGAGATTTTATGATGTCAATGCCCATCCACCATGCTACTAGGAGACCCGTGATGAAATAAATTATGTTATTTCTATAAATCAGAATTCGGACATTTTAAAAATACGAGAAACTATTTTTTTTTAATTTAGAAATTAAAAAAAAAATGAACTTATTTGTGAAATTGTTGAAGAATCAGGTTTCTATTAACATATTAAACAATTATACCATATACTATCATTCTAAGTTTCCATATGTATGCAGTGTTTTTTTAGTTCCAAGTAGGGGATGTAATCAAGTTGAGTAGAGCTTAACTCGTGGCTTACAGCTTGTCTCACGGATATTATGGTTGGCATAAGCTCAGGTTTGAGTCAAGCTTATACTTGACTAGCTTGTTGCATGGTGAGATCAACCTCTATTTGTGAGCTGGAGGTTGATTAGATATTTTGAGCTTTGATTGTCCTTGATGTTTAAAACTCCTTTCAATTTACAATTTAAGTGTCAAATGCTACAGCTAAAATAACTAAGAATGTTTTTTTAGCAAATAAGGGAAATGAATGCTGGCTCAGGTTTTCCATAGACTAAATCGAGTCTGACTTTAGTGCTTTAGTTGAAAACAAAAAGGTTAGTATGACACTTTAGAGTTATTTAAAAAACAAGTCTGTTGGGGGAGACATTCTACTTTGGCAGAAAAAATGTTGCCCCTAGCATGCAACAAAGACTAGAACCATTATTATTTTTTTATAGATTCCATAGCATCATAAGTCTATAATTCAGGAAAAAATATGATGATCACTGCAATTCCTCGGTGCTTGAAGAATTAATGGTTTGCTCTGAATTAAATTGTCTGCAAACAATATAGATGGGCCTTAAAAATTGAATGCGTGGGCTTGAAGAAGATTGAAAATTGGCAACTGTTATTTCATCTGTCCACAAGTCACATTTGGCTGTCAAAATCTACTTGAAAATGAAATTGTTGATGCTGTATTAACACAATGGAAATGGCTTAATTTGCATCACCAAGTGGAAGTTGAAAGACTTATTGAAAAATAAGTATTTAACAATCAACAGCATTATTTGAAGTTCTAAATATTGCTGCTAGCATAATATGAGCATAGGATCATCCAAAAGGCTTCAAATTTAAAATTTGGTAGCTAAATAACGGCATGATTTGAATATGATAATAATCCAAAACTTGTAACAAACACATTGTAAAGACCATATTTTCTTACAACTAATAAAAAACTTTATCTTATAAACAACATAAGGAAGCCACAATGAGAAATGTTTTGCTCAACATCTACTTTAGGACCTACCCCGACTTCAAATGCAAACTCTTTAATTTTTTTTTTAAAGATCTATTAATAGTCGCAAAGGGCAGAACTATAACTTATTTCAGTTAAAATTTTAGTTCCCGCACAAACGAGAAAATTCATTTGAATCAAGGATTACAATAAGCAGGGCATAGGCAAGGGTGTAAAGCAATCAAATCCAAAGTTGATATCAAGTTTAACATAAGTTATGAATAAAGTGTCCAAGCTATTAATAGAGTTCACAATAAATGACAACAATTGGGTTGTAGGTTAGAGTTTTTCTTTTTTAAAAAAACGTTACAATATAAAATATTATGGAAGAACTTGAATTAAATGAATAAAAAAGCATAGAAACATTACTATTATTTTGATTTTTCCCTTTAATTTATAATGATAACGAGCTTCATCACTTGTGCTTAGACGTTTCCATACCCAATTCAGATTGATGTGTTTGAACATCTCTTTCTTACATTAAACATTGATTTAGAAGCAACTATGATAATCAATATAGACATTAGGTTCCATAACCATCCTTACTAATACATGATATTTTTTTCTTATTGTTGTTTGACTAAGAAATAACATCAAATTTAGTTTATAGGTTTGACTTTTTTTTTGGTTACACATGTATATTGATCTTATAGGTTTTACTTTTTTTTTTTGGGTTACACATGTTATGATAATATCACTTCAAATATTATGATTTTTTTAGTCCTATCATTGTTATTAGCATTGGTGCTACTACTTGCACTATGTTTATCTAATGTTCTAACTATCCCAATTCTAAAGATGCAATCTGCACATTAAATTTATACTTTTAAACATAATACTCATTCTGATGGAGCTCGTACAACAAACTATAACATATGTAATATTTCAAAGCCAATTATCATAAATTTCATTTTTGGATTCATAAAAACACCAATGACCGTGACAAAGATGCATCATATGCATCAAAGCTCAAACTCGTGATCTTATAACATAGGCACTATAATATGGGCTTGATTCTGAGTTCATAGTTTATTAAGTTTGGCTTATGAGGTTGTTAATTAGTTGAGTTTGAGCATGCTTACAAGTTGGCTTGGCTCACCTAATGACCAAAATTTCGTCAACTAAACCTTTTTTTTTGTCATTGTTTTAGAATATTTGCAAATCATATGACATTGGATTGTTTGCACTTCTTGTGATGTTCCTCTGTAATATAACATAAATTAATCCAACTTCTGCTTAGAATTTCCTTGAACTTGGCTTATACTAATGAATATCTTCTATTTAACTATTAAATGTGGCGATTGTAAGTTTTGCACCCTAAACCATTCTAGGAGCAACCTTTCTTCTCAACATTACACTATTTTACTTTGCAGGAAGACCCTTTGTATTCTCACTATCAACATTTATGCTGCGAATTGAATCCTGTTGAAATCAACTCGAAAGAATTTCTTATGGTAATTTCTTCGTTCTAATTTTCTTTTCATCAATGCGTGTATGTGTTCTATGTAAAGTAATATATGTATATATATATATATATAGTCTTAACTCCTTTTTTCTCGAATGTAGGTTCTAGTAAAATTAGGATTCTTATGGTCCTTGACACTATCAAAATAGAATTAACTCTAGGAGATTCTGCCAAGAATTTTAAATGCAAAACAGGCCGCTATGGTGCCATACTAAATAAATAATTTGCAATTGGGTGCTTTTCAAATTCATGACGTAGTGCAACCCCCCTTCTGCCATTCCCCCCACCTATGATTTTATTATCTCATACAGCATCTTAGTAGTGCCTATGTTCATTATTCACCGTTTTGAACTATTGACCATCCAAAGATATATGGCGTTTTTTTTCCCTATGCTATTGTACACAGTTTGATTTTTTGCAGAGAAATTGAGAAATCTAGCAAATCTTATATTTCACTGAATTAATTATTAGTTTATATGTTCACATTCTTAATCCTCATTCATTATGCCTACCATATAAACAGGTACAAAAATACTTGAAAAATACTCATGCAGAAACACACTCAGGCTACACGGTTGACATTATACATTTATTTAGTGTTTCAAGAAAAGGAGAAGCTGAGCGTTTCAGAAAGGTAAATTTAAAATTGCGAACTTTCATTAACTTTAAATTATAAACCTAAACCCTATAGCTCTTACCTTAATCACAATATTGTTTCTTTCATATTTGCAGTTTTCCGATGTACAAAATCGAATGCTTCTTTGGCACGGTTCTCGATTGACAAACTGGACAGGCATCCTATCACAAGGTTGGTCTCACTATCATTCACATTTGAGTTATTATTGTTTCCTCTGCAACTTGTCCAAGATAATTTGCAGACGGTTTCAAAGAAAAATGCTTGTTTAGTGTAATAATGCAATTATTATTGCAATTCTACTCTGTATTTATGGTATGCTTTCAGCCTCTTTGATATATTTGTAATTTGTTGAGACCTGATATATGAAAAATAGGGACATATCTTGTCTTTGCTAACAAAAGAAAAAATCAACTTTGCCACCTTTTTCTTGTACAATTTCATAAAATATATGCGCTTGTCAGCTTTTATAGGTCTACTATTTTTGAGTTGTCATGGAAAGCAGATGTATTTTTTGCGGTCTTGTAGATTTTCATTGCCGGGTCCCAAGCTCTGGATGTGAAAAATGAAGGTTTGAGTTAGGCAGTCGACAACCACCATAATTTTTTTGTTGAAAAGTCATGACACGAGTCTTTTAAATCCTTGTGTAAATGCTCGGGCGTCCCCTGGAAGTGACACCCTGTATGACTTGAATACAGTGAAAAATGTGCAAGGGAAGCTACTCTGACGTTTTGGTTTAGTGACAAATAAGCAAGAGTTCCCACATTATAGGTGAATTCGTGCAAAGAAGTTAGTCCATTAAACTATTATTAGGATAATATTTTGGAATATAAATACTCTCACAGGTAAATTAATGAATTTAGTAGATATTATACTTTATAGGAAGATAAATATTTTATGTATTCAAGAAACTAAATGGTTTGGAGAAAATATTAAAGAGATTGTTAGCTTAGGTTTTAAAATTTGATATTCACATAGAAGTCACACTAAAAATGGTATAAGTGTGAGTATAGATAAGAGTTTGAAAGATAATGTTGTAAAAATTAATAGAATTAGAGTGAAATTATAAACCTAAAGATTGTTGTTGGTACTAAGAATTTTAATGTTATAAGTGTTTATAATCTGGAATGTCCTAGAAGAATTAAAACAAATGCTTTCTCTAGAAAAAAAAATTATTGAAGGAGATTTAAATGGATATATTGGTAGAGTGGTAGAAGATTTTAGAAATATATATGGTGGCTACTGTTTTGTAGTGATTAATGAAGAAGGTAGAACCATATTAGATTTTACTTTAGTGTATGATTTTGATATTGCTAATACTTTATTTAAGAAAAGAGGAGCATGTTATTGTTTATAGGAATGAATCTAATAAAACACAAATTGATTATTTTCTTATGAGAAAAAGAGATCATCGAGAATATAAGTATTGTCAGGTTATTCCAAGTGAAAATTTGAGTACTCAACATCAATTATTAATTTTTGATTTTAAGACAAGGAAGTGTAAGGTAAAATATATATATATGATTTTTATTGATTTAGAAAATGCTTACGATAATGTTTCAAGAGAAGTTCTTTTGGACAGTTTTAGAGAAAAAAAGTGTTGATATAACTTATTCATGTCATTAAAGATATGTATGCTAGAGCTGTTACTTGTGTTTGAATAGAAGGATTGACCAAGTATTATTTTATTTCATTTGGATTACATCAGGGATTGGCTTTAAGGATGCTCTTACTAAACATTTATAGGAGAATGTACTTAGGTGTATGCTTTTCATTGATGATATCCTTCTTTTAGATAAGAATAGAAAAAGAGTTCGAGAAAGATTTGAATTATGAAGGTCTACATTGGAGTCTAAAGTCATTCGTTGAGTAGATCTAAAACTGCATACATGGAATGTAATCTTAGTAGGAGTAGCTCTAGTGGTAGAGTTGTAACTATGGGTGATCAATATCATTAAAAGTGTGAGCGTTTTAGATATCTCTGGTCTATTGTTCAAAGTGATGGTGATATAGATGGAATGTTATTAGTAGAATTCAAGTTGATTGGTTGAAGTGAAGGAATGCATCAGGCATATTGTGTGATTAGAAAAGTATCGCTTAAACTTAAAGGAAAATTTTATAGGTGGTGAGACCTACACGCTCTATGGTGCAGAATGTTGGCCTTTAAAAGAGAAGCATGAAATAAAGTTAAATGTTGTTGAGATGAGAATGCTTAGGTGGATGAGTGGCTTGACACTTGAAGACAAAATCCGAAATAAATATATTTGTGATAGGGATTGTGTGGTTACAGTGAAAGACAAGATTAGAGAGAGCCGTTGCAGATGTTTTAATCACATTAAACATCGACAATCTGATGATCCGGTTGGGAGGGTAGATATTTTAGATTCGATTTGTGTTAAGAAATGTAGAGGCAAACCTAAAAGACTTGGGCATGTTGTATTAAAAATGATCTTATATGATACTCAATAGAACACAATGTAGATTGTTGTTGTTATTTTTTGTTTTTGTATAAATTTTTATCAATTCATTCCCACATTTGTATTATATTTTAGGAAGATTTACATGCATACCTTGCAATTCTTGTGTATTGACATATCTAACACCTAAATTTCAAATTTTACATATATGCAGCTTAGCCATGCATGAAAAGGTGTATTTCACTTTTTAAAAGTTTAAATGGTGGTCTTTTTTATGTGATATTAAAGATTTTGGTGGTAGAAACATAAAAAGTAAAGTTTAGGTGTTTGATAGGTAAATAGATAGAAATTGGGTGGTATGTTTGTAAAGGCCCCTATATTTGATTTAGAATACATTAGAGGAACAATAACAAGTTTTCATGTTGTTACACTACTATCAGGCTTACGGATTGCTCCCCCAGAGGCTCCTGTTACAGGTTACATGTTCGGCAAAGGTGTTTATTTTGCGGATATGTTCTCAAAAAGCGCAAATTACTGCTGCACAAGCCCTGAATCTTCTTCAGGGGTGTTGCTTCTGTGTGAGGTTGTCATGCTTTTCCGTACTTTTAGAACTCCATAACATTACATTCTATTTGTTTATGACTGATTTAGCATCCAGGTTGCCTTGGGAGATATGGCTGAGCTACTAAATGCAAACTGTCATGCACATCTCTTGCCAGAGGGAAAGTTGAGGTTAGCCTTTTTTAGCTTCCCTTCTCTCAACTATAGTTTAGCAATACAGCGTAAAACAAGCAAGTGATTGCCCTGCTTGTCATCATATCCTTATCCTTATCCCATTTTTTTGTATTCACCCCTATTCATGTAACCTAATTCTACCATTTCTGCTTCCCAAGCCTTAGAATATAATTTGTTTGTCATAATTTTTGGTAATTTAACCCAACTTGGTGCCCATGGCAGTTCTTTGAATGACATATAAGCCCATTACTCATCTATTTGTTCAGACTTTAGAGTACGGGTGTAAGAGAACCGAGCCGACTCGAGCTCAACTCGTTATCGAGCTCGCTAGTCTAGCTTATCGAGCCACTCAAACTCAAGCTCGTTAATTAAATGAGCATGAGCTCAAGCTTGTCTCACAAGCCAGCATGGTCGCGTCGGTGCTTTATCCGGCGAGCTCCTATGACATTCATCCTATTCCCATCATTGATCGAGCTTATATTTGATAGACAAGCCGAGCTGCAGTTCGGCTCAACTCATTTACACTCCAGTTCAAAGCATTTTACTGTTCTCTGCCTTTTGTTAAATTTAGCTCCGATCAAACTATTCTTGTGTACTACTATCACTATCGATTTAGGAAAGGATAGTAGTATTCTTAGCTCACCATCTATTTTGTTTCACTCATTGTGTTTTGAATTTTCATCTTTTTAGTACAAAAGGAGTCGGTGGCACAGCACCAAATATGTCACAGGCTGAGATTCTTGAAGATGGTTTGGTTGTGCCCCTTGGTAAGCCAAAAGAGCAGGACGGCCCACAGGTGATTGACTTAAACCCATTATTGTAGTGCTTTATTGCTATTAGTTGTTGTTCTTTCACCATAACGCGTTTTTTACCGTACCGTCAAGTCAAACACAAATGGGATGCTAATGTGGCATAGTTTAACGCATTTAGAATTCACTCTTTTCTTCAATTTCAATGTATTTGGAATTTATTAGATTTTTAAGAATTCCAAATACAATGTATATAAAGTGTGGCCGCGACCGTCGATTGTATTTTATATTGATTTGATTTTTTTCCAAACAAAATACAATAATATGAAGTCTTGTATTTATTTAATACCGAACCAAACAATTCTAAAATATTCCAAATAGGCTAAATTTCAACTATACTGCCTTCTTTATATTGCATCCTTTTTCAACAAATCAGATAACTCTTAAAAAAAAATCTTATTTTTCCCACGAGCAGAAGATAATCATGTCGAGCCTTATATATTGAGCTATTGTCGAGCCATAGCTAACTCATATTAGTATTTCTCATTTAATTTGAAAAAAATAATTTTCTAATTTTTGAATTTTTTCTGTCACCTATCACACCAGAAGTTTACCGACCAGTTATCCGTGTCATTTGCAGGGTTGCCTGCTGTACAATGAATACATAGTGTACAATGTCGAACAGATCAGGATGCGATATGTCCTTCATGTAAATTTTAATTACAATTATTGAACTTGGCCTACTCTGTATCTGTAGTGAAACGTTAGGTGAAGCAGCTGTGCGTGAAATGTCTGTAATTTTTTCTTGGAATGTAATTTGTGTTTTATGAGAAGATACATACCGATGATTCTCGAATATATTTGAGGATTGTTATTCAATAAGCTCCTAATAGTGAACAAATCTTTTGTTAGATATATTTTATTTTTGTCTAGCTCCTTTCTTTTACAGTAGTATTATTTCTTAAGAGTCTATAGGTTCTTGTTGTGCTGTTCCAATGTTCAATTGACACTGACAGGCCAAGCTTGTGGCCTGCGCCGCCTAAAACATTGTTAGCTACACGCCAAACAAAAACAACCATTTGGTTCTCTCTAAAGTGACAAAATAATTAATCTGAAACTATAATTCTATGTTGAAAGAGGCATCTGGCCTCGGTTCCATCGTAAAAATGGTTGAGAGAATGTTCACTTTTCATTTGCTGGACGAGCTTCTTTAAAAACTCGTCTGTCGCAATGTTATTTTTCGTCATTTTCTAATTGCACCATGGGCTCTCCGTTCAGAACGTTGTTCCGATGTTTCAGAATGTGAAGGTAAAAAGTATATTGCATGTTGCCTCGTCTTCAGGGACAACAATAACCTCTTTTAAGGAGAGATTTTTTGACCCAACGTGCGAGCGGTTAGGACAACGAAAGGTAAAGTGATATTTCAGGAGAGAAAAATGACTTAATTGCCCTCCCACATAAATACAAATCAGAATTTGAGGAGGGACGACAAAACGAGCAAAGAAGTGTAAAAGCACTGCGACTTTTTTTTTCTCCTAATCTTCTTGACACAGGTGCGAAAGAATCTCGCATGGGCGGGATGCGGGTGCGGAAGACTCCCGCACTTGCGGGAGTAGCTAATCGACCCGATCGGTCCAATTGAGGGCCGATTTAGGATGAACCTAAGTCGAGTGGCTTGTGACGGTAATTTGATGGGGTGGGACTGCCGCCCACCCCTCTCCAACTTCCTTTTGTGCTTTTTTATTTGGAGGTATTTTAATGGCTAGTTTATGAATATTTCTTGCCTTACTACCTCTTCCTTTTATGTGGGAGTTTACTTTTTTTATTTTATTTTTTTCATTTCTTCTTTGTGTAAGAGTATTTATTTATTGTTTTTAGAGTTTAGGCGAAGTTTTTGCCATGTGTTGGTTTCAGATTCCTGTGTGGAATCTTTTGCCCCTTTGTGAGCTGCATCCGAGGAGGGTGGTGTGTATCTTACTCCCTTTTGATTATCCAACCCTCCTCCTCTTTCCCAATAAGTCGTCGGTCACTCCTAATCCCCTTCCCTAGCCTCTGCAACTCTATCTCTTGCATTTACCTTGTTGTCTAACACCTTTCAGCCACCCCTCCGTTGCCATCAATCACCTACGACCCTCAATACTTGTCGTCCCTATAATCCTGCACCTCCCCCTCGCTGCCATCAAAATTTCTTAGCTGCCACCTCCATTATCAACCATCCCAATCCACCTAGCAGACTTTCACCGCTCTTGGAATACATGTCGATGCTTCTTATTTTCTGTTGCGTTTTATTGTAAATCTATTTTTCTATTAACAAAAATTTATTTTTATGCTTCTACTATTTTTCTAGTACTTCTGATATCACTTCTCCTACCATAAACACCAAGGAAAGTAACCCTAACCCTTGTCTTTTTCCCCTTCTTCCTACCGCAGTCGACTGCTCTGCAATTTAGCTATCATCTCGGTAGTCCCTGTTACGACCGACGACCATAGAACTCTAAGGTATAGAAATTGGAAACAAGGAAACCTAAAATATAAATACGGAGTGAATCCATGAGCTCTACCCCGTGATATCCACGATAATCAATACATTTCGTACGAAATAAATAGAAGAAACTCGATAAAGTTTCGTGGTATCGACCAGAGGAAGAACCGTCCGCTAAAGAGAAAGGGCTCCAGATTCCAACCTGAACAGATTGGAGGAGGTCGCGCAGAAACTCCATTAAGTTTCAGCTAAGGTAAGTACTTTCCTTCTGTCTTCTAAAAATTACCAAGCAGGAGTAGCAGCTGCTTCCCTGAATTTGTTTTCATTGATCGAGGCAAGGAAGAAGAGGAGTTCGTCGTCGGAGAAGAACGAATCGCCCGCGAGAGAGGTTAGCCGACGTTGGGGGTGTAAACGAGCCCGAACACTCGTTTATATTTCGAGCTAAAAAAGTTTCTTAGTGAGCCAAATAGGAGCTTCATTTTGATAGCTGCATTTTCTATCCGGACAGCTGACTTACCTCTACGTGCGGCTTAGATTATTCCTGAGTTATTTTCAGGTTATTTTTGGGTTATTTTTAATAATCCTAAAATAAACCAAAAATAAACTGAAAATAACTCAGGAATACCTTGCGTCGCACGTAGAGCTACGTCAAGAGTTTGCACAGAAAAATTTTTGCATGTTAACAACCCTAACACATAGTCATAAAATGTTAAAAATCGGGGCAAGATTATTTGATTCTAATTTAATAATAATTTAATAATTTTTATTCTATATTTTTTTTAATTACTACTTTTAATTGATTATAAATCTTTATAGCCTTGTAGTCAATTAAGCTTTTTAAAAATATTAGTAGTATTTCGAGTCAAAATGAGCCGATACATGAACGAACAAATATTTATTCGTGTTCGGCTAGTTAACTTAGTAAAGGAGCCGAACACGAGCAGTTCGCGAACAACGAGGCGTTTTGACAATCCTAGCCAACGGTGCATTAATTCCTGTAGATTAAATTAGGTAGGGTTATTATAGTCTTTTTATGTAAAATGTTGTGAATAATAGTTACAAGAAATTTGTACATTCAAACACTAATATTAATTAATAAAACTTAAATTTTTAACACACTGTTTTGTTTTCTAATATTGTGTTTAAATGAGCTTCTCAGAAAGGTGAAGCTCCCTTGAATCAGCCCTAAACTTTGATATTTCTGAATTGTTGAGGCAGTAATTTGTAAAGAGACAATAGAGGACTGATTTTACAAAAATTTTAAAATGTTTATTATTAAATTTATTTATTTTTAATTATTTAATTTACTCTGTATTTGAAAAAGTTTTTAAGATGTAATACTACAATGTCATATTAAATACATAAATGGTTTCTATATTTTTAATAGTAAGTGATTAATGTTCATGCCATTTTGTATCTGCATATCTTTATTCATATTGGTGCATTATAGCCTTTTTTTTATATATATTTTGGAAAAATGAGGGTCATGCCCAACTATATTAAATAAAAGATAGACACAATACGATCCCTAATACAACACTACCCAAAAATAAAAAAAGAGAAATCACCCGTCCCAAAAACAAGGGAGAAAACAACCAACAACAACAACAAATAAAATAAAAGAACTAAAACCCCCAACATAAATAGAACAGAAAAAGGAAATATCCAAAAAGCAATAACCTATAGTATTAAGAGAACAATAAATCTTATCGGACAACAACGACGACCAAAGTCAGAAACAAAGAGAAAAAGATATGCATATCCAAAACTATTGCAATAACTAGATGACAACAAAATAATCATGAGGAGAGAGCATCAAATATCCAAAACATTAGCAACGTCACGATTTGCTTAGCAGCAAGAGAACCTTAAAACAACAATTGATGAAATTGAGCTCCATAGATCCAAAATTGCAGCAAAGTAATCAAGCAACATTCAAACGAACAACTATCCATCTAGTTAATATTCTTGAAAAAGGCTCGATAAGAGAAGAAAATGGCCACAACACTAATCAACATTAACGGAAGCTGCGAACCAAAACAAACAAAAGAAGAGCACAAAAAAGGGAAACAATAACCAAAAACCAAAAACATAAATATAAAGTAAAAACTACCAAACAATATAGAAGCTAAATCATGAGGGAGAATGAAGAAGAGCTCAGCCGAACCCAAGTCCAAAACTAAGAGAAATCCATCAAGTTCAAAGAAAATAAAATCTATGAAGGATGGTCAGTAAATCTCTCAATAAAAATATACTTTGAGGTAACTAAAATCACCTTAAAGTCAAAATATGATCAAAGTACAGAACATAACCACTACATAAATGAGAGAACAACAAAATCATAAGTCCACTATAAGTTTAAAGCTTTATTAGACGATTGAAAAGTTCACATCCAAGTTTAATTACGCAGAAAAGTATAGGTGAGTAACATAGAAAAAAGTTTTAAAAAAAACATATATTTCTTAAAATTTTGAGCAAAGTACATCATAGCATATACCAAAAAACGACCACAAGAACTAAGAAACAAAAATAGTATCCAATCCATAATCAAAATATCAAAAAGGAAAAATCAAACAAGAGCCGATATCTCATAACAACAAACAACAAAAAGAAAAAGAAAACAACAACAAAACACTCTTCTCTAACACCCAAAAACTCCAAACAAAAACCAACATTCCCCACCAAAAAAAGAAAGAGGCCACACCAAACAATTAGAATAAACAAAAATAAAATAAAACTAAGAAGAGGAGTTTAATAAATGTAATTAAAAAAAAAACAAACCTCTAAACAATCAAAATAAAAAATAAACCAAAACTAAAATTAGAAATATGAAAAAGAAATAAAAAATCGGAGAGGGAAAGTTAATAATTATAAAATATCAGAATATAATCAGGAATAGATCTCTTAAATTTTCATTTCCTACTTTTACCGATAATCATCCAGTGGATCTAAGCATATCCATAGTGTAAGAGTTTTTTCTTAAAAATTCTTGCATTTATCTCAAACCAAATATAATAAGTTGTGACTTGTAAAGCCAAAAGATGAAATCTTATATGGATCTTGCAAGGAATATTTTCAAAATGATATAAAAGTTGAAAAATATTGACTTGAGCAATAAAGAAATTCTCATTAGGCACACAATTAATAAGAATAAAATGAGAAAAAGCACATTTGAAATAAGGATGATCATGTGTCTCAAAATCATTGCCACATAATACTCATATTATTGATATTTATTCCTCCAAGAGAAAGAATGTTACAAGTCTTCAAAACTTTATGAACAATTTTTCAAATTTGATTAGCAAACTTAATAAAGTTTCTCTTATACCTTATAGGTATAAATCAATAAACACAAGGAAAAGATTCTTATGGAGAAAAACAAACAATCTTATGAGAGTAAAATTCTTCTGATTTCAGAGACAAGTCTCACCATAACTTATAGGAATGTTATTAATAGCAACAAGACAAC